AATTCCTCCTGCTTACAACAAAATTTTGATTAGATTTCAAATATGATCAAGTCATAAGATGGAGTAAAGAAAAAAGAAACCAGACTTAATAAAAAATAATTAGGCATGATCTTATCTCTGGCTGTAAAGCCTTGAGAAAGATATGGACAAAGTGGAAAGACATAATGTCTTATTCTTGGGAACCTTACGCAGGAATTAATATGCAAATATTTGTAAAAATTCTAGTTCATGATGAATGCACAGTGTTGCCTCACAAAATTAAGAATATGGACAAACCCAATGTAGAGCATGAAATTTTTCAAAGGAGTGGAGACAGATCAATCGTTCTCCATTACATGGGATGCATAATCAGGAAACTGTCAACTACCTAAGGTACTAATCAGCATGAGCAAAACAAACCAAGGTACACTAAAAGAGCGCTGAGCATAAATGACAGCCTATGCAAATAGGAGAGAAAATGGTGAAAAAACAATCTAAAATGCTCATATTAATTTGATGACTTAAATGAGCTTGTCACCAATTATGACCTATTTTTCTGTACACTTTCATCATACGATCTTACTAGCACAAGTTCTATATGTGGTTTCAGAATCCAATATATTGAAATATGAAAGAACATGGTTAAAACAGCAATGTAAAATGCTACTGGGAGAACAGAGAGGAAAGGACCATCCTCCATGTTTCTCATTGGCAAAAAGCAAAACACAGGAAGGATGCATGCAAATTGTTAATTCTAATGCCTCTGCTCTACAATTGGTTTGCCAGAGATTGCAGAGTGCCAACAAAATCCCCAATTCACCTCACCTATTTCATTACTTGGACCTAATTTTCTGAACTCCCACAAGGAGACATTTAACATTATGTATCAGGTGGTGAAAATCCTCCACAGTCTATAACTACATAGAAAGGCTGAACACTTAATTAGTAATTAAGCTAAAGTAGTTGGAAAAATATACCTATATAAATTGTAAGTAAATGTTCATAAATTTATGGCATTCATTGTCCAATCATGTATTCTTTTTTTGATCGCGGTATCTAATCATTTTTTAATCCTAATTCGAGCTCTACACGATTATCAATTCTCATACATACTATATAACACATCTAATTAATGCATTTTTTACAAAATTTAGTTCATTGTAAGAAGGTTAGGAGACCCAATACTAATTTTGGCTTTTCGCAGTTTGTACCCCAAAGATTTTAAATTTTTCATTTTACACTCGCAAAGATTAAATGAGGGCCACATTGCAACACTTTTGAAACATTGAAGTGAAGGTAAAAAATGTAATCTAGGTATAAAATAAAAAATTTAAAATCTTTGGAAGTACTAATCCTGTATCAAGGTTCTATCTTTAGCACCTTCTGATGCAAAAGTTGAGTTTGAATTCAAAATGAAAATTGCAAAAGAACTCGACAAGAAAAAAGAGCAAGTAAAAAATACCAAGTTCTAAAGCACACCAAAATGAAAAGCAAAAATGAAAAAGAACTGGACAAGAAAAAGAGAGAAAATTGAAGTCCTAATGCATTTATACCAGTACATTAATGGCAGAACAAGGAAACATAAGCACTAAAACCAACCAACCAATATGTAAGTCAAGTAAGTTGTAAGCTAATTAACCTCAAGAAAACCAATCTCCGCCTCCATCATCTGAATTCTAGCCAGCTCCCGGCGCTTACCGTACAAATTCGGACACTCAGGTGGTGGCTTAGGGCGCGGTGGTGGCAGCGACGGCACCAAAGAAGAGCCACCCGCAGGCGCCATCGATCATATATATATATAGGCAACTTCTTTGCTTAGAGTGTATATGTGCTGTTTTTATGTTTGTATATTTGTTAGCAATCATTAACAGAGCGGTATATAACGCAAAGAAGTAAGAATAGAAATAACCACTACCAGTCTACCACTATCACTCCATTTTAACTATTGGTAGCAGCAACATTAGGTGGAGAGAGAGAGAGATGGTAATGTGCCAAGGAGGTTATGTATGGAAAAGAGAAAACAGAGGAAATAAAGAATAACGCGTCAAATGAAACTCATAAAATTATCCTATAACTTAAATCCATATTTATTGGATAAATGAGTTGCGACAATTTTTTCAGTGAAATTCACTGATTTTATATTCATTTAAGGGATGATATATATTTGAATTTGATTTTTTAGATTTTATTTAAATTATGTAGTATTAGTTATTTACCGTGCTTGAATGCACGAAATAATAAAAAATTGTTAACAATAAACATATTTGTATTCATACTCAAAATCAAATTATAAAAATAAAAAAAAAACAAATAAATTTAAGCACCAATTGTAATAGGCGCGAGTGGTTGTGGTGGGGGCGGGGGGGTAGTGGGGGTGGAGGGAGGGAGTGGGGTAGTTGTGGGATGGTGATGATGGTGGTGGTAGTAGGGCTGTGGTGGTGATGGTGGGGTGGCGATAATAGTGATAATGGTGGTAGTAGTGATGGGGCAGTGGGGGGTGGTGGTGATGGTGGTAGGGATGATGGTAAGACAATGGTGGTGGTAGGGGTAAGGTGGCAACAATGGTGGTAATTGGAATAGTGTTATTAGGGCATTAGTGAGGTGGTGGTAACAGGGGATAGTGGTGTTAGGGCACTAATGAGGTGGTGGCGATGGGGCGCGATGGTGGTGGTAGTTGTCATGGTGGTGTATGGAGCAGGTGGGTGTGGTGGTCATGGGGGTCGACGACAATGGTAGTGGTGATGGTGGTGGTGGGGTGATGACAGCGGTGGTGGTAGGGTGGCGACAGAGGTGATGGTAAGGCGATGGGGATAGTGGTAGTGGCGGTGGGGCTGTGGGTGGGGTGGTGGGACAGTGGGTAAAAAATTACTTCAAACACATCTTTAGAGACTTATTTTATTTATTAAATTTTGGATGTTAATATTAGCCGTCAGATTAATTTTAAAGTAAAATTTAAAGAGATCTCAACCGCGAAAAGTAAAAGTTATTTTATTTATTTTTTTAAAATTTGAATTGTATTGTACTTTATAAATATATATTTTTCAAAAATAAAAATTCAAGTTTTTTTTTTGGTTATAGGGACGACTAGGTTTACGTTGATTACTTGTTTGAGCTCAATAGCTAGTCACCGTAATTTAAATTGTATTAGAGTGTGTCTCTAAAACAACGAGATTGATAGCCCTTAATTAATGTGAGAAGGGATTGTACCTAATTAATCAAAAATTGGACTCAACTATTGAATCACTCATAATAATTAAACAATAATTGAGGGAGTTTTAAAAGTTGACTAAATTCGATATCATACCTTAATTTATTATATTTGTGATTATTTTATTATATTTATGAGTATTTTTTTTATTATTATGATATCTCAAAAAATAATAAAAATAATTATTATAACAATAATAAAAACATCCACGAATATGATAAAACACCCAAAAGAAAAATAATTTATTTTATATGAAAATAAAGTGATAAAAATAATTACCACAAATATGATAAAAATATCAACAACATTGATGAAATTACCCATAAAAATTATAAATTATTTACAAAATAATAAATTTTTTAATTATAAAATAACTTACAAAAACTATAAAAATATTTTTTTAAATAATAAATTTTAAAATTATGGTGCTATTTTTTTTAATGGGTACCTTAGTGAAATCCAAAACTGAAGTTGCTGACCTGACCCCAGTCCTCCAAGTAAAAACAAACGGCAATAATCACTGCAGAGTCTCAGAACTTGCAGTACATATCCATACATGTCCACGTGAATGAATGAATGAATCATTCATTAATGCAAGACTTTTCATTTTCACTGACACTAATATGTATGTTGATGGGGGATGGTATGCAAGTAACTAAGTAGATGAAGAACATCAGGTATGCCAAAAAATATACGGTACCATTGAAATTTATAAATTTTTGGGTTTATTCATAATAAAAAAAAATATTTACAACTTTTTAGATCAATTATAACCTAATTTTATGGAGTTTTTCACAACATTTAGGTGTTATTTGTGATTGATGTTAGAATTTTAAAAATTAACTACGAATGACCCACAAAAATTGTAAATGAGGACATGACCCAACCCTCTTGAAATGGATGGTGTACGTATATAATCTGTATGCACGTACTATGGAGTAATGTAGACAGACATGATGTCTCACGAGACAACACATGAATTTTAGAAAAAAAAAATAATACCAAACAATCCACAGCTAGTGATGGAATAGATTTTAGCAAGGGTATCCGAAGAATGCTTTAGTCCAGTTGTCGATCGAGGTCCAACACAACACAAAGAGATGAGTTAGAGGTCCCATTGGCGAGGTGTCGGTGGAAGACCCTCCAATACCTAAATCGGTAAAAACTGAATATATGAAACATACTATAAGTAGATAGAGAAAGTACGTGGGCTTGGAGGGTGACCTCCCAGCTGCCCGGTTGTGTGTGTCTTTCCTTGTTGGTTGTCAAGACTTCTATTTTATAGTGGGGATGGCTGATGGTAATGATGTCCCCTTTGAGTGTCTTAGTGGACAATAGTGTGTGGTTTGTCTAGCTACAACATTCTCTTGTACCCATCACTCTTTTTGTCTTTTAATTAATGAACAAAACATATACCATCCATCAGCTAGAGAGATGGAGGTGGGAGGGAGGAAAGTGTGGGTGAGGTGATTACAGGGTGACGGAAGGGGTTCTTGTTTCGGATGGAGTTTGGCGGGGGGAGAATGGGGTGAGTTATAGAAGCTAATGAAACTTTTTAGTTCTTCTCTGAGAATACACTTGAATGCATGTGTCTATTCTATAGTCAATTTAAACCGTAATCAATGAATTCAGAATGGAGCTTCATAATGCTTTTCCAAAATTATTGTCATAATCACAAACCCTAGGATCTGGAGGCATCATACAAAACTTTCAGTACATATAAACACAGCATGAATTCATACACAAGTTAAATTTTGCTTAATACATGTTACCAGATATTGACTAAAGTCAAATAGGTGTGAAAAATGCAATCTCACTCGAACACCGAGACATCTCCATTCCAACTACATGAAGCAATCACATTAGGCATGACAGGATGGAAAGCAACATCCATGCAAGCTTGTTCATACGCCTTCATTTTTTTCACAAGCTCAGAGGATTTAGAGTTGTAAAAGTAAATGCATCCATCTGAGGAGCCAGAGGCAATTTTTTCTCCATCCAGGTTGAAATTACACTTGATAGGGAACCCAGAAACGCTATGGCTTTCATATCTCCTGTACTTGTCAAGCTTGAAGGGTGGTTTGGAAGAGAAGACTGCAATGTAATTTCCATTTGACTGAGCGACAAAATATGGATCAAAAGGGTGGATTCTAATGCATGGACAAGTATACGCTTCCACATAAACCTGAAGAGAAACATATGAGCTTTAATGGATCTCATCTGGAATACAGGAACCAAATAGACTACTCAAAAATAAAAAGTAAACTCAAATAATCAAAACAATAGCCATAAAAAATATACAAAGCAGAAGTCATAAGTACAAATAAGGACAACCAGTGCACGCCCATCATTAGAGTCAGGGAAAGTAGATGTACGCAGCCTTATTCCTACATGTGGAGAAATTGTTTGTGGGACTCAAAGCAGTCAAAGCCCGCTTTCAAATCAAATATATATAAACAGTTTACACAAAAATATATATATATATATAGTAGCCAATACATCACTGAGCACATTCCAAATCCAGGCCAACCTCCTCAGGATTGCAGACATGCCATGCCAAACATATAGATATAGTTTCAGTTCAGTTCAGTTGCAGACTGATTCTACCCTGCATGTGCAGTTCTTTATCAACTAAGCCAAATAGTCTTCATCTACTAACAATTAACTAGTGCCCAACAAGAAAAGGGGGAATAGAAAAAGAAAATAATAAGTAAAACAGAAAGAACAGAAAGAAAGAGAAGCAAGAGCCAAAATAAGGAGACAATTCTTACATACACTGATCTCTGCGAAGCAAATGCAATCATATCCATTTGAAAAGTCTCAGACTAGTCACATAATCAGGCAATCATACACACAGAAGTATGCAAAACAAATGGAGCCAACTCTCCATTTGAACATCCAAATATCCATAGCACTCACTATTTGAGTGGATCATAATAATGAGGAAATCAATTCCCTATCTTTTTAGCTAGAAAATGGAACTTCCCATTGGTCTGCTTAGTTAACAGGGATACATATGCTTGAAAAGTAAAGTTCAACAGTTTTAGTTCACCTTTTCAGTTGATCAATTGCTGCATATGTGACTGCATTGATGCGCCTACCCAGCCTATATATATATGAAGAGAGAGAATCGTCACCAGATTAGTGAAACGCGTACAATCATTGATCCATCCTATACATAAACTCTCACATCTAGAACTTCTATATGAGATATCAATTTGGAGACCACCAAGATTCCTGTGGATGAGGCTTGGGGATCAGTCCTCTCATATCTTTGGTGAACCATTATAATCTGATGGCTACAGAATATAAACGGCATTAAATCTAAGTAAAAAAACAAGGATGGACAATCCATCTCCTCTTCTATCTCCCCTCCCCTCACCACACATACCAAAAGGAAAAAAAATCAGACGCCGATACCTTATGTTATGCTAGTCTACTAAACGGAATTTTCTTTTCTGGCATACATGCAAATTGAATTCAAATGAAACAAATAAAGGGAAACTCTTTAATTAGACTCCCAAAAAAAAAACCCAACCCAATAGATCTGATGTACCATGCTTTCTTAAATATATCAAACAGAGTAATGCAACACCAAAACACATATTTGAGGATGGTTTTTATCTTGATCAGCATAAATTGAGTCAAAACTGAAATGTGAACAATTTTGAGCATCTTCAGAACCATTTTTAAAATCCTATTTATTGTAAGAACTAAGAAGTAAAATCACACCGGTTGATAAGAATTGCCCATGAAAGGAAGCATCAGTTGGGAAACATAAAATCTACTATTCACAAGTCCATCCGCTAACTCCATTACACAAGAAGACAATCAACTGATGTTGAAAAAGAAGCCGCATCTATAGTATTCTTTTTATAAAACAAAAGGAAATGGTTGATGTATATTACCTGATTAGATAGCGGAACTTGCCGCAAGACATCCCAAACAATGATTGAATTTTCGCTGATATTGCCTTTGGATTCATCACAGGAAGAAATAAATTGCTTTGCATCAGTGGTGAATTCTACATCAAGGATTGGACCAAGACCTCGTCTATATTCATGGACCACCTACCCAATTCTAATATCCCATAATTTAATGAGGCCCTTTGAACCACCGGAAAGAAAAAGGTCGGAGTTGTTTGGATGAAATTTTACGACTCCAACAACCTGATCCTCCTTGAAAACCTGAGCCTCTAATCCCTTTTCAATGTCAATTAACCTTGATGAGCAGTCATACCCACAAGAGAGCAAGAACAGTCCCTGCTGTGACCACTTCACATCTTTCACACCTGCATTATGATAGTTAAAGACGCAAGCTTTCTTATGATCTCTGCTCCATACATTCCATACACAGATGCTATGATCCATTCCGGCAGATGCAAGCAGATGAGCTGAAGACTAACTTTATTGAACAGATCAGAAAGTCACTGAGCTGTAGACCAACTTTATTGAACAGAATAGGAAGGCACCCATCATGTATGGTAACCAAAACATATCATGTCTTGTAGTTAATTTAAAACAATTTACATGACACCCTGCAACTTGAATCTAACAATAAGATAAACTAAAAAGTATGGAACTGAACTCAAACACAGCTGCTCTGATGCTATACTACCAAGAGATAATATATCAAGAAAGCTATTAGAATTTGATTGGGTGATTAAAGCATTCATAGTTCCTAATACAGCACCACTTCGCGTTGTTTACGAATATAAGCTTCGTAAGTTTCCAAAGATATGTCCTCACATTAGTAATTTGATGAAAACAAAATCACAGCTTTTTCCATTCCTTTCTATACTTAAAAACCATGGCAAACTTAGGGTACAACTCAAAAGTCCATCCAGTAGATGTAAGCACTTCTCAAATAGATAAGATTTTTTGGTGTCCAAAAAAATTTGAACTTATCAAAAAGTGCATCTTAAAAATGCCCATTCTAGAGAAGTCTCTTAGGGAAGCTTTTCAAAACCATGATATTGAATTTCACATTGCTCTCCAAAATTAGCTTTAATTTTTTTCATTAAATATTTGTTTTAGCCTTGCTTCATAGGTAGTTTACATATCTCATATTATAAGGTAGAAAGTAAAAAAAAATATATCGTATTAGAACACCAGTTATAGATAGACATGACTAAATAGTTGTAGATAAACATGACTAGATGCAGATAGACATGACTAGTTATAGATAAACATTGGTTCAAAAGCACTTCTACAGTACACTTTTACCAACCAGTTAGGCATTTCAAAGAGTCTATGTTAAAAAGTCTATTTTAAAAAGTCCATCTTAAGGAAGGACTATTACTTTGAGAAGTTACGCAACCAACCTTAGTCTTCAACTGATAATGATATTCTTCTAATTTGGTCATCCTCGTGTTTGTCTTTCACCTAGACTTCCTCTTTCATTCTTAATGATGCCGGTGCATGCCATATATCTCTTGATGGTGGATTCACTTATTTCACTGTCCACCAAGAAAGGAGAAAGTCCCATTATAGGACTTGGTGGAGCCACCCAAATCATTTTATTAAAATGTTTTTTCCACCTGTGCCACTAATGGCTTACCATCATAGTTGCAAATCTAGAAATTGCCAAAGACTATGTGGTTTAAATTTTAAAACTGATTCCAAAGGTCTAATCCTACCTTCAGTTTTGTCACAACAATAACAACAAATGCATAACAAGCTACCCAACATCAACTAGGGGAAAGTAATATTTACCCTACCATTAGATAGATTTTCCAGTATAACTAGAATAAGAGTAGCAATTCTTATCTTCTTGACACTGTGCAACATGTAAGTCAAACAATGCAATTACATGTGTGATAGAAATCGAAAAGGGATTGGATGAGCTTAAAATGAAGAATTGAATTTTATTATTTGTTTAGTATTATTTTATTAGTTAAGGAATATTTGTTTGATTAGGAGTATTAATTAGAATTTGATTAAGAAATTATAATAGAGTTTTAGTATAATAGAAATTTGAGAGTTTGATTATGAAATTCTTTTAAAATTTTAGTAGAAAAACAGTTTTTATTTTGATAGGGAACTTGACCTATAAATAATGGTATAATCCCAACTACTTTAATTAGAGAGGGAGTAATATAATAAAAAGTGATTCTCTGTAAAAAATTTTGTGTGTTTCTTCTCCGATTCCTTACGAGGATGAGGTAAATCCCTTTCACCCCTTATTCTTGCTTCTTCTTTTTCTATTCTTTGATTTTGAATCCATCCTGTCCTACATCAGTTTGGTATCAGAGTTCAACTTCGATCATTCTCAATTGTCATTGTATTTTTGAGATTTGTCTAACATCTTGTGCTTCAGCCCTTTGTTTTAGTCCTAAAATCCCATCCTAACTTGCTAAAAAAATCCAACCATGTAACCCTTAGATTTTTGAAATTATAGATTTGGGCCCTAAAATTTTTGAAATTACACTTTCATCCCTCAAAAGTTTTAAAAATTATACTTTGGCCCCAAAGCTTTCTGAAATTATAATTTAGCGCTAAAACTTTTGGTAATTTTTCAACTCACTTATTCCATCAAGATGGTTGTCAAAGCCAAATTAAATACTAAAGTGGAGGTTTTATCCCAAGCACAAGTTAATTCGCAAAAAGCCATAAATGTTAGACTAGATTCAATTTGAATATCTATCGATTCATTGAAAAAACTTGTGATAACTTATATTATGTTATTGAAGAGAAATTTTACTTCTATGCTATCAGGCTTGAAGATGTGGTTTACGGTCTGATGTCAATTTTCTTGAAGTATCATTGCTACAACAACTCTTCGGATAACAGTTTTTTTCAGCCGAGAATAATTGATAGAGATCAAAAAAGGATTGGATAAAATTAAATTAAAGAATTGAATTTTATTATTTGTTTAGTATTATTTTATTATTTAAGGAATATTTGTTTAACTAGGAGTATTAATTAGAATTTGATTAGGAAATTATTATAGATTTTTCGTACAATAGGAATTTGAGAGTTTGATTATGAAACTCTTTTAAAATTTTAATAGAAAAATAGTTTTTATTTTGATAGGGAACTTGACCTATAAATAATGATGTAATCCAAACTATTTTAATTAGAGAGAGAGAGTGATATAATAAAAAGTAATTCTCTGTGAAGAATTTTGTGGGTTTTTTCTCTGATTCCTTGCGAGGATAAGGTAAATCCCTTCCACCCCTTATTCTTGCTTCTTCTTTTTCTATTATCTGATTTCTAGTCCTTCCCGTCTTATATCAATGTGTCTATGCATGACCTTTTAGCATGACAAACCCGCATTGATGCGTATCCCTCGTTCAAGAAATAAAGAAGAGATATTCAAGGAGATCGCCAGCAGAAAAATGAAGCATTCAATTTCCCTCTTCTCGGCAAGGGCATTAAATGCCTAGGTATAGGAGTCTTTAATGCCCTTCACTTCTCGGCCCCCATGCCGTAATCGCTGTCTTATCAGGAGGAGGATTCATTAAATTATTACTTGCTCTAGTCATGTGTTAACAAAGGTATCCATATCTTTTTGCTACTGATTTGATATCATATTTCACGCGTCCACAACTCTTTGGCTGTATGTCTTGCATTCCTACGCCTCCTGACACCATGGAGCAGAGTGTCTTCATGATAGCTAGCCTAACCTGGCCTAGGCTAGTCATCTGTCAATTTTTAACTTTTATAGAAACAGGAGAGATGAGATTCAGCGTGTAGAAGAAATACTTCGACGCCGAGAAATAGTTGTCTTCCTCGGGATAGAGGGTTTTCGCCGAACCGAGAGTATATGTGTCAGTTACACCGTTTGGAGGGTTCAGCTTTGAGCTTTATCGCCTCGGCAGAAGGGGGTGAACGGCGTCGAGAACACGTGGCCATACCTTATTAGGAATATAATGATATCGAGCACACGTGTCGCCGATATATCTCTTTCCAGAAATGTACCATCAAGAACCTGGTGATGTTGTGACTGGAATTGGCGGGATAAGGTTTGGAGTCGTCGGAGCCGAAGCCAAGACTGCTCGTTCTCTCTTCGATATGTACCTGCCGGGAAGAGGAGTTTCGGTGGGGAGATTCGGGTTGTGGGTCGGGCGACATACGGGCAAAGGCTTCGTGATTGGACAAGGGTTCTGGGGCTTGGGTCGCTTGGATGGAGGCAATACGGTTCTTCCATGATCGGGTTCATCGTCGACGTCTGAAGCAGTAGAGTACGCGTTGCAGAGAAGATCCATGGCCATCTCAACTCAATGTTCAGAGCTCCGACGAATTTTCATTCTTAAGGTATTTATATGTCCGTTGGGTAATAAGTAAACGGGTAGGGGTATTTTTGTCATCTAAAGTGACTAAAACTGCATAGTTTCTGAGAAAATTTTGTATTAGTAATGATACATGATAGAAATGCAACTCAAGCTAGTTGGACCAATGAGAGGTCACCACTAGTAGGGTACGGATGAGTCAGATTATTCACGAGTCTTGTTATTTGACAAAAAAAAAATATCTAACATTTTATAAATTTGATAATTAGTCTACCTGAGTCCGAGTCTAATGTCCTTAAAAAAAAGGGCTTGAAATTGCCCTAAAAAATCTATTAAAACCCCGTCTAAGACCCCGCCCAAAATCCTATCCGCCAAGTTCAGCCCACACATCCTATTTTTGAAAAAAATTATATTTTTAAATAATTAAATTTGAAATTTTAAAATAAATCTCTCAATGTTAGAATTTGAAAATTTAAAAATTTAAATACTATAAATATTGTATATATATGTTTTTTTTATGTATTAAGCATAACTTTTAAATGATAGAGTAAATACAAATTATAGATAAATGAGTAGGTATGAACCTAATTGGGATGTATACATTCTATTGAATATAGTTTATCCCGTAATCAAAAATAAAATGATTAATTATTTTATTTTTATCTATTTTGACTATATTTTTTATTCAAAAATATAATTTATACAAATATTAAAATATTCATTATTTTTAAATAAATTTGTCAACAAGCTCACTCTAAAGGCATGCCCACTAGGCTCGTAGCGTTGAGCTGTGAGTAGCCTATTCTTACCCTCAGTCTGGCCCGCCCAAAAATTCACTTGGATAAAGAGTTGGACCTATACTACCCAGGCCAGCCCATGGACAACCCTAACCACATGTCTGACTCGAGGTACAAAAATTTTAACTCTAATCTTACTCATAACTCGGATTGAATTTAAGTCGTCGGTGCTGCTTGTCATCTTCAGTTTTTTGTTCTCTTTGTTACCACCCAGAATCACTCTTCTCTTCTTCCTGCCTTTGACCCCACATGCATTAGACAGTGACTGCACACACAAAACAGATTAGATAATCAGAACTAAAAACAAAACCCCATATAAGTCACCCATAACTAAAAAATCCCTCTTTCTCTCCATTACGCGTCCACACACACACACACACATCTTGAAGGTGAATTAGACCTTGGGGTTTAGGTATTCATGTCTTCCGATTCTAATGCAACCTGCATCATAACATCAAATTAAAACAAATCAAAATCTGATCGCAAGTTAGCTGAACTGTACACATACACCATGTACCAATGTACAGAGTATAAGGCAAAAGGGGAAGCTCATGATCACTTACTGCTATAATGCTTAACTATGGATGAGATTGAGAGAGACGAATGGAGAAGCAAAGAGACGATGAGAGTGAGAGTGGCAGAAGATAAAACACAAAAGGAACCCTAGTTATGCTATTCATATATAACAAAAATTGAAGGAAAGTTTAGCCATTTTTTTTCAATTCTTGATACACAATATTCCTTGTGCAATTGTTATTTAGGTAATTCTCAATTGTTGGCTCAATAATAACTTTAACAACTAAGACAGTAGTTATGCGTGACAAGACAATGTACAATTGTCCATGTGAAAATACTGATTTTTTTTAATACATGTCAATGGTTTTTAAAGTTTGTCCTTATGCTTTATTGATTAGCATAATAAAACATAGTTTTATTGGGAATTGATTCCTAGTGAATTAGACAAGATATTTATCTTGGGTGGAGGGTTGTAAAAGAATTCTTGGTAGGAAAATAATTTCTCTTCTGTGATCACCAATTGCTATTTCTGTACAGATGACATACGATTTATATTTCTCAAAAGCATAATTAGGCTAATATGTTTCTGTGTTAGTTGATGAGGAGGAAGACCAACTTGAGATAGAGAATTTAGGAAGTTCAATTAGATTAAGTGTTTAGATTTAGAAAGACAACATCTAATCAATTTTTGAATGGATTTTATTTGTGTTGTGTCTTCCAAATAAGGAACAATCATGGAAATAGAGATATAAATCTTATTGTTATCATTTGTTTGTTTTTCAATTCTAAGGATGCAGTCACTAAAGAAAGGATCATGTCTTGCATGCATGTTTTCAGTCAATTTAATTTTTTTGCAATGATTTTCAAATATAAAATTTGACCAGGCTAGTATCAACAAAATCATATTTTGTACATTTAGTAATAACTAGAGGAATTTGTCGAAAGTCACCTCCAAAAATAATTAATTTACCCCCAAAAAATAAGTGAGAATTATTAACATCTTTTAGCGTATCATTCAATGCTTCAATGACTTGAAGCCTAGCCATAGATTTTTCATCTCAAATTATGAGTTTTGTTATTCTCAAAACTTGTGCGAGAGATCTTTGCTTGCCTATATTTTATTTATATTTTATTTATTTATTTATTTGCTTGCCTGTATATAAGTCTATATCTATAGGTATTTTAAAACGCAAATGTGATGTGCGTCCACCTGACACTTTCTTTCGAATTTGTTCTTTTGAAAAAAAAATTTTGTTCGCATAATATTCGGACATAGAGCAATCAATATTTTCTCACATATTTTTAAAATTGTTGGAAGCATGATGGACAAGAATGGTATCAAACAATGGAACATTTGATGGGATTTGGCTTCTTCTAGATATTGTTCAAAGCTGTTAATTCATGCATTAGTGCAACTTGTTGATATGTTTTTGTAGGAATTCCATTGCCTGATGTGATTTAAAAGCAAATGTACAAAATATCTTTTGTCTTGGGTAGGATTTGATGTGATTATTTGCCAAATTACTTGTCATTTTTTCCTCTTCATCCACAATTTATCTTGCCGAGACCTTACAAAGTACTCTACAAAGTCTTTATATAAATTTTTTTCAGTAATTGTTTTTTCATTCTGTACATTATTTTTTAGAAGAAGTCATTATGTAGAATAGAGTTTAGATAATCTATTTTTTTTTTACCTATGTTTCGTGTTTTTAGAGCAAACCCAGAATAACTGAAAGACGATATTACTAAGAAACAATCTTTGAAAAAGTTGTTGCATTCACCTATGCCATTAAATTTAAAAAGAGAGGTCTCTCGCATGATCACCTATTAGTTATATTAGAACATGGATATAATTCATGTCCCCAGAAAAATATGACATCCTTGTTTTAGCAAAACTTACAAAAGAACATGACAATTCTTATCTATTTTCTGTGGCTGCAAAGTGCATGAAGCATGCACCTTGCGGCCCACTAAACCCAAACAATGTGTGCATGAAATCGTGAATTTCCAGCACTACAAATGGATCAATGCTGTGTTGATCTTGAGGATTGCTGGCCACGTTTGGCCCCAGTTAGTCCATAACAATGGTGGTTTAGGTTTAGAGATTTTTGGAGACCGGTCACTAGGTTCAATAGGATTCAAAAAAAAAAAAAAATCACTCACCAATTTTCTTTTGAATTAAGTCACTGTTGAAAAGTTAAAGAAACAAACGTAACTACCGCCCTTAAATATTACACAAAATAACGACAATGCGATTATCAAATTTAAAAATAAATTATAAAAATATATATCAGTATAGTGTACCTTCTTTTACAATAATACACCAATTAATTTAAATGTCGTATCGAAACGTTCGAAATGTCTGAAACATTTTGAATTTTTAACACACCGATACTAAACATGGGTTGCATCCCAAAATTCCAAAGTTCTGGTCGAAACGTCGTTGTGTCGGACAATTTTCAGACAAAATAGTGGATTGATTTGATTGCACTCCAGGCCAAAGTCGGGGAAAACTAAAAAATTTGAGATTCTCCGAGCTAAAATCTCATAATTCACGAGTACACTGATCCTCCAAGCCAAACAAATAGAGGGGAAAATCAGAGATTTTCACATAAATCACATAGACATAGGACCAAGTCTTCCAAGCAAAAAAAAAAAGCAAAGAGAAAGGCGCAAATGGCTTACCCAGACGAAATCGGAGAGAGAGAGAGAGAGAAAGACACATATACAAATTATACAATAGAAATTGAAAGAGAAGAGTTTAATAGCTTACCTCCCTAAGTCCAGATTTGAGCAAATCTATCCTTCTTCCATGCAGATCTAGAGCTTAGCTCCTCTCTGTTAGGACTTAGGACTTCATCGCTGTGAGCCACGAGTCAGGTATGTTCTTCTTCTTCTTCTTCTTCTCTCTCTCTCTCCAGCATTGGCATAGACATCTCATTTCTCTCTTTTCTCTGTCTATGTTTGTCGTTAAGATAGAGTTGCAATTGACTCTTGAGGTCAGTCTTCTCACTTTTATATATTTTTTTCTTATAAATATGATAAATTTCATTTAATACCTTACTACATTATAACTTTTAAGTATACAAAAGTACAACTAATTTCATTTAATACCCTTTATTATTTTTTTTGTTTTGCAATTATTCTTTTATGTTATTATTATTTGCTAAATTGGTATATTAAATAACTGCAAGTCATTTTATTAATTATACCTTATTTGTTAAATATTTAGAATTAAGTATTTATGTGTGTAAAAATTGTGTATACAATGATTTTAATATTAATAAAATAGTATTATTTATTAATTTGAAGACACAATTTAAATTAATAATTAATATTATAATAAATAAATAATATTATTTCATTATTAATAAACTAATATGGTTATGATTCTGAATATGACATTCTCTCATATGATTATGGATTAAAGTATGACACACGAGGAATACGAATATGAATCCTCAACATATGGTTATGGATCTAGCCATTGACTCTCAGACATCCTCCTCATATAGACAAGATGAAGGTTGGCTAGAGACTGGTGTATTCGTTTCTCAACAGATTGGATGTACTGTTGCCGACTATCAGGGCTTCGAGATAGAGTATAATTCATACTATTATAATAATATGATTTGGAGTAACTATTGTCATCATATTTATATCATATATAGGATTCTTTGAAGTGACTATCCATAATTTACATCGGTGTATGAGTCTGCTCGACACTCCACAGGGGATGAATGTAATCATGTATATACATACTCATTAACATTTTATATGTATTATGAGACCTTAACTTTATATAAAAATGTGTTTATTTAATAAAAATTAAATTTTGAAACTAATTTGAGTGATTTTCACCTTGTATCAAACCTTTTTTTTTTCTCCAATTTAAATTTAGGGTTAATTACAAAATGTCTTCTTAAACTATGAGTCTTATTTCGATTAGATCCCACTAATTTAAAATCGAATAATTTACCTCCTTCAAATTTCAGAATGAGCAAAAAGTACAAATAATTAGCTGGCCTCTGTCAAAAAGTAACGGTAACATTTTAAATTCATCTGCCAAAAAAGCATACAAAATCATTTGAGACCATTCTACCCTTATGAGGTCGAAAATGACAAAAACACCCTTCCCAACCATTGGAGATGTCTTATTTAACTGAAGCAAAGTTCTCATTCATGGTCATGATTGTTGTTAGCCATTTAGCCTCTTTCTCTGTACCTGTTTTTTTTTGCTCCACGAAAAGCAATAGTTTTTTGCCTCTCCCTTCTCTCTCTCTCTCCACACAAATACAGACCAACTCACAATATTATACATTTTGCTACTGTGTTTACACCAGAAAAATGGCTTCAAGCCAATCATCAGTACATGAAGAAAGTGAGAAAGAGTGTTTCTGTGGACTAAAATGCAAAGTGAAGACATCATGGACAGAAAACAACCCAGAAAGAAGATTTTATAGTTTTCCCAACTACAAGACAGTGGTACTTCTTTATCAACTATTTTTTCATGTTTCCTCCAATTGCTATGTTGATATAACCTTTACTTTGTAAAGCGCAGGGAAAGTCATCTTGCAAATATTTTGACTGGTATGAACCAAAGATGACAGACAGGGAAAGAAATATCATAGTTGGTTTCATGCGCAAGACGACAAAGCTTGAGAACGAGATTAAATACTTAAGAGGGAAGGAGAAGTAATATATGCAATCATTATTGTATTCATAGTTGTTTATCTCATGATGTATAACAACTAGAAACAACTACGTATTCATTGGTCATGTAACAAATGCAATCTGTGAAATGCAAGACCTATTGAAATAGTAGAATGCAACATCCATTTCATTACATACTAAACAAAAGAACATCATTTCAGGCAAAAGCACATCACTGTGTTGGAGGACACATTAGGTCATTACATGCCTAACAAGACACAAAAGATGGGTTGATTTCTAAACAACACTAAAGTGCAGTGCACTCCATAACAAAAAGTGTGATAACAACACCAATATAGTTCAAAGTCAAAACATGCTCCACTCACCTCCCTTAGAGCCGCCTTTCCCATTTTCATCAATGGGATTCTTGTCATTCTTCTTCATCTTCGACCTTGTAAGCATCCCAATGCCTTTGGGACAACCTGAATTAGTACATTCCAAATTCTTGATAATTGTTAACCCCCTAAGCCCAATTGCAGACCCACTGGGAGGTGGAAGCCCACTGCCACTAATATTGATACTCTTCCTTACTCTTTCACCACTTTGAATTACAAAGCTTTGTCCTTTCTTTTCTGGTTGCAAGCTATTCCCAGTCCTTTTAATTTGCTGTGAGATGCTTGTATTCCCTTTGGTTGGTTATGAGCTGCCGGTAGTATCTTTCATTAGCTGCGAGCTGCTTGTATTCCCTTTGATTGGTTGTGAGTTGCTGGTAGTATCTTTCATTAGCTGCGAGCTACTCCCAGATCCAATTGGTTGTGAGCTACTCCTAGTTTTGCAACTCTTCTTTTCTTTTCCGAATCATGTGCCTATGACAAATAAACCTTATATGTTAATAAACATTTAAACATATAGGTGCATATACTAACATGATGAAATACATGATAATCTTACCTTTGACTTAGTTTTTTCGCTGCCACTGCTTGCAACTTTCATTAGAACAGTGCAAGACCTTGAGTTGTTTAAAATTTGTGGCATTTACCACAACGAAGAGAATTTTGTTTCTTTCGTATGATATATGGGTTCTTTACCTCATCATCTTGTTCGTTCCTTAACTTTTTAGGTCTTCCTGGCTATCTTCTCCACAATGGTGGGTTGATCACATCCATTCCCAACGACACCCATTGGCTCCTATCAGGAATTGGGTGGATGATTTGGGAGTAAGCTCTCATATACGTCTTAGTGTGGTAGAAAAACATCCACATAATCTTCAACTTTTCCTTTATGAAATGAGATGGCTAACATTGCATGTCCACATGGAATGCCATAACATCCCATCTTCTATAGGTTCAACTTCGATTTTCAGATTTACCTCATAAGTCTTACCAAAGCACTCAACTTCATACTTTCCTTGTCCAGCCCAAATATTATGCAATGCCTTGCCTTTTCTTTTTGTGCATCTAACTTCTGATGAATTATAGGGCATAAAAAAACCTGTGTGATGCAACAAGCTTTCTCTTTTTCTTGTAACCTTTTCATGAGTTTTTTTTCTTATCATCTCAACCATCGTGATAATTGGCTTGTCTCTTGCATCCAAGATCAATTTGTTTAATGACTCTGACACATTGTTGCATAGTGTGTCAGTCTTGGGATGTATACGAAACAAAGACTTGGACCACAATGTTGGGTTTATGCCCTTCAAATACCAGTAAGCCTCTTCATCTAACATCCTGATTTCTTTCATGCATTCCTCAAACTCAAGAATTATATATGCTAATGCTGCAGCCCACATTGTACCTTTCAAAGTCTTACCTTTGAAATCTTTGTCCTTGAAATTGGCATACATGTGCCTTAAGCAATATCTGTGATTAGCTCCTGCCATCACAGTATTGAAACTCTCGACCAATCCCTAGTGAAAGCAATGCATAAATAAGAAGTCAGTTATAGGGCACTATGATATACACATCAATGGAAAAAGTATAAGTGAAATGAAAATTGCATTCCTTTTGCCTATCTGAAATGAATGTCCATAACTCTATCAGATGAAGTACCAATAGCATCGGTTAAGTGAGTTAAAAACCAAGTCCAAGTGTCTTTAGTTTCAGCCTCAACCACTGCAAATGCTATTGGGTACATCCCCTCATTACCATCCTTCCCCACTGCATGTAACATTTGTCCACCTTTAGGTGACAACCATCTAAACCTATCATTGGTCTACATCCTGCCACAAATCCATCTCTTATAGCACTAAACACACACAAACAGTCTTTGAAACACTGGTAAAGTCTCTAAGCTTGGCCTTTCAACTTTCAACAAAAGAACACTATTAGGGTTGCTTCTTCTTACCATCTCACAGTAATCCCACAACATGTTGTACTGCTCTTTGTGATTGCCTTGTATCATCTTAAGTGCCTTTCTTTGGCCCTATATATTTGGCTTCTATTCACATCAATCATATGCTCCCTTCTCACACTTTGTTGCATTGCACTAACTTTCCAATCTGGTTCATCTCTCAGTTTCTCACATATTTCATTGCTAACCAAGACGCAATTGCTTTCTTATTCTGATAGGTACATGTACAATTGTGTGTTGGCTTGAAGCTTTTTATTTGAAAATTTAACTTATCCTGCATGAGTGAAGCATGGATACGCCAACCACAAGACTGTGAACACACTGTTGTGACCTTATCGCCATCATTCCATAAGGTATTTGAAGTCAAACCCATCCATAATAGCATGTTGTCTAAGTGCCATCCTAAATATGATAGCTGAAATAAAGATCATTCCCAGTGTCAATTTAGGATTAGACATATCAGTGG